CCTGAACAGCAATACAGTGTTAATCAACTGGCTATACAGGGGGGGCTTATTGTTGTTTTTAAAACACACTCTGACATTTTAATAAGCCTTACTAATTTGATTGATAAAGCTAATAAACATTATGCTGTATGTTTTGGATTTCCAGAATTTATTTGGTTGGATATTTTATGACACTTCATTCAAGTAAACTAAGATGATAACAAATTAATACAATAATCATATCATCTTTTAATGTAAGTGGACTAGAAGAATTGGCTGCTAGACGACACTTCTCCAAGTTTTCTTACTCAATGACCCAGAAGTAATAATTTTCAACAAAGTCCTCCAATTTGTACCATTAGCAGGATGAGAGAAACATAAATAACAAGAGAGAACATATCTCTGTTGCAACCAAGTGAATATATATTTGAAATGCATAATCTCAAGTGTAGGATGTGTTCACAGAATCACAGAATGGCAGGGGTTGGAAGGGACCTCGGGAGATCATCTAGTCCAACCTTCCCACTAAAGCAGGTTCACCTAGAGCAAGTTGCACAGGACATGTGGGCTTTGAATATCTCCAAAGAAGGAGACTCCACAAGCCCCCTGGGCAGCCTGTTCCAGTGCTCTCACAAGACGGTTTATTTTAGAGTTGTAGCAAAAACACAACTCTCACAGAGAACAAAAAAAAAAAAGTGGGGGGGACAACACCTCATATAGTACAAGTGCAAATTTGAGGTCACCTCATCAAAAGATTTCTAGGATGTTTCCAAATGATGGATTGCTTTTAACATTTGAAACCACCTCCAATTATTAAAAAATATAATTGTGATCTTCCTGGTGAGCAATAGGTTTTGAGCTCAGTAAGTAAACAATTTAAAGAATTGGTTCTGCAAACAACATTTGTAGAAAATACTAAGCTACCATTCCAGTTTTCCAAACTAACACAGATGCTCATTAGCAGTTTTGCAAGTGAGGCTTTAAGAATAAAACCACTCGCCAGCCACCTGGTTCTTTAAATCTGAGCTCACAACAGAGCACTTCTCTGAAGAGCACATAAACAGCTCACTCACTCAATGCCTGGGAAAAAAAAAATCACAGAATCACAGAATCGCAAGGGTTGGAAGTGACCTCGGGAGATCATCTAGTCCAAACCTCTGTAACTGCAACTGCATCAGCATTCAACTGCTCTTTGAAATGGGGGCTACAACAGGCTCCTCTTGGAAGTACAGGGGCAAGTGAATTTTGAGGAAGTTGAGCACCGCAAAAGCAAAATTCATGACCCATCTCTTCAAGTCTTACAGTACTGCAACAGGGAAAGCTGTACCCAGGATGTAGGGCCCTACATAGGACATCATCTGTACATGGCAGTGGGATGTCTGGCTGTTAAGAGAACTCCTCACTGTTACATTGGGAACTCAACAACACTGGTTAATACAGTCCTCAACAGAGGAAGGCTCGCTTAACTGCCGAACACAACAGACACACCTAGCCAGTATATGCAAAAGAAGCAATAAGCAAGCAGTGTTATTTGGTATGTGCTGCAAGCCTACGGTGTGGAAAAAAAGTGTAAAGTGATCACGAGCCACACAGAGCAGGTCTGGAAGAGAAATCAATGGAACAGGTCCTATCCCTGCTAATCTCCACGCCTAGAGCTACACTTGCAGCATCCTTTCATCTACAAAGGAGGCCCTGGAATGGGGGCAAAAACTTCAGCATGGTTCCCTTCTCCACTTCTGATACTCCATCTAGATCACCTCTGTTCACCTCTGGTGAAGTACACTTTCCATCCTGAGGCCAAAAGGTTTAGAGGGTGCTTGCTCATTAAAATTCCTTATGCAAACCCAGAAGTCTCTCTTGCACTATCACAAGGTAGTCAAAAAAACTAATCCAGGAAATACTAAACAAAAAAAAAAATTGGTTAAGTGGAATTCAAGGGTGCCTGGCAGCTCCTCGTAGAGGACAGGAGCTCCAATTAACACAGTGAGTAAGAATGACGCTTCTCAGGGTGACGATGCAAAGGGACAGCTTTAAGGCTGCGTAATTGTGTGGTGCAAGAGACACACACAAAAGCCACATTTCATTCTCTTCTGGTGTTTGCATCTCAGCACCCATACTTGCTGTTTGCAGATATACTAGTTTTACAAGATCTCAAAAAGGCAAAATGAACCTTCAGGCATTTTGAAAGGACTAAGCAAGGCACAGGTAAGTTGTACACTAAGTGGTGTTAGTCAACAATGGTTAGAGTCCACCGTGAGGAAGTACACGCTTTTCTACAGCATTTGTGCAATGGGATCTCAGAAAACGCTCCACTTGCAGGATAAAAGCAGCTCTGTCCTGTGGGCTCGCGGAAACAGGTCTCACAAACCCAGCCAACAAGAACCTTGGAAAAGACTGCCTGAGTCAGGACCCACTTCAGGTTCTCTCCATCACACTGGTCTTTCCCTTTGGGAAAGATACCCTCTTCTTCCTCTCTAAGAGATCTCTAAAAAGCCCCACTACTCACCTTTGTCTGCTCTTTCCTGAGTTGCTTTAATAATGCTAAGTCATCCTGGGCCTTTTCCCTCTCTTCTCTGAGAGTTTTCACTACACTGGAAGTCTGAGCGATGCAGTTTTTGATGATTCTCTCTCTGCTGGTGTGAGCATCCATCAGCTAAGCGGGGAGAGAAAGAAAGTCACAACAACTAGTTCAGCAGAGAAAAAAAAGCCTCTGAGTTACAAGTTTAAGAGCGACTTTCCAAAGTCAAGTTACTGCTGTGCCTACAGAAATCCCTCTGACTCTGTAACCGACATGTCGGAAAACAACACCGCTTCAAGCAGCGGCTACCAACTCGATCACAAATCAAAGATACTCACAAGCAGGAGTCTCAGTGCAAAAACACGCTAGCACCCGTTTTTAAAAGAAGTGGACCAGGCTAATGCCATCCGCCGAAGCCCGAGGTACACCTTGACGGATCGGTACTGCAGAACAAATAAGTTCCCCATGTGGTTTTAAACTGAAGTAGCTGTTATGTGTGCATGGTTTAGCTACGCAGAGGAGTCAAGCACGCCGGTTACAGAGATACGTAAAAGCACGATATATCAAGGCAGTGATTTCCTTAGAAACTGAGGATGCTCTGTTGGCCACTGCACCCAGTAAAACATCAGGAAGTGAGCTGAAAGCCGAAGGAATGCACACTCACAGACTGGTACAGCTCTTTACACGTCTGGCTGGCATCAATTTTCCCCACAAAGGAAGCTGTTGGAATCGTAGTGTTTAACTCGTGGACGATTCTGTCATCGATCGTCCTCATCACCCTGAGCAACTCCTGTATTAGAAATAAAAGAAAAATATTTGCTTATACCTCTGAGAGAAGCTTACTGCAAAATATTTTGCAGGTCTTTTAACAAAAAATTAAGTCGCTTGCTTACAAACAGCAAAAAAACCCCAAACCCCACGAAGCAAACTATTTCTGCGGGCAGGGTTACGTGCTGCAAACCAAGCAGCTTCCTGAGCAATAAAGGCCAGAGGGAGGGGGAGAACCAGTCAGCGCCGAGCAACGAACATCCCCCCCGAAGCCCCCCGGCCCTGCCTGCCCAGCAGCCGGGCCCTGCTCGCACTGGCTCCCGCGG